TTGTCATGTGACTCCATAAGAACATCTTGTCTGCAGTCTGCCATCTCTGGGGCCAAACACCTCTTTCTCCTTTTGTTCCTCAGGGAAAGTACTGCATATGCTTCTTTATTCTAAAAAGCCCCAAGCAATGTTTTCTAACTCATTCTGATCCAAAACATGATGATAACTGTCTCCCAAAAAACAGATGTTCAATATGTATTTTTTTTTAAACAAGTCAGTCGACCTTCGATCAACAACTTTGGAGAGCCACAGTTAGAATAGCTAATAGTGTTTGCATTTATAAATAACACATTAATTCATATATAAACAACTCCAGGTCTTGTATGCGTTTCTGTGCCTTTGGGCTCTGGGATAGGAAGCGTGTATTAAAGTAAATACGAAACATATAGTAGAAACAGTGAGGTAATGAATCCAGGTCTGTCCATCATCTAGTTCTTGTCTCCAGTCCTCCATTCTGTATTATACTCCAAAACTTCCAAAACCACACCCAGTAACCCCTGTTCACAGTGTCGACGCTCCAAATACCAACAAGTTCAGCTAGCTGGCGGCAGAGCATACACCACTGTATGATGTGTCTGGGCCAGCTGTTCTTATTAAAAATAGATATTCTCATACAACTATAATGCATTTTTAATTATTTGCTGGATTACTCTGGTCTTTACGACGTCTCACAGATCATTTCTAATTGGTCCACGGAAGTTTGCATGGAAAGGCTGGATAGGTTTTACTGTCTTTCTAAAAGGTCAAATGTTTTATATTCTAAAGTAAATTAGCATATATAACAGCAAATTCTATTAGAGGACAGAACTTTCATATTGTTTTATTAAAATAAAAATATTTTTCTTAATATACAAAAAATAGCAGCTCCAATGAAAACGTGCTATCATAGAAGCAAGCATATATGATTTGTTAATATTTGATGTATCTTGGTTATGTCTTGGTCATCTTGATCATCTTTTTACATTAGGCTGCTGTAGTTTTGTTTTCTTGGTCTCATTCTGTCATGTCATTATTTTATCCACAAAATAACTAGCTAAGACCCTGTTTTCCAAATCCCCTCACTGTCATTAGGTGGTATACAGTATAACCCGCGTGAGTCTGTGGCTTATGGGAAATTACGATTGTTAAAGACACCCCAATAATATTACATAAACATTTAAATGTATTCCAAATGTAAAGGCTGTATAGTTCATAGTGTGTGGTATTACACCATGTCATTGTGATTTTAATGCGGCTTTGTCACTTCTTGAACTGATCTATATTTGGGTCTGCTTTGTAGCTAATTAAGAAGCCTGTTTAATGAAGTTTCCTCAGCCTCACAGGTAGATAGGATTGGACCCTTTCTAGATCAACCTGGGCCACATGCTGAGTATCTTCGTCTCACTGCTTATTCTGAAGTAGGACACAAATGTTTAAAACAAATGCTGAGGAAGATATTATTCATACTGATGTGGTGAACTACTTTGTGCCGACACCAGAATGTGGTTCAACTTGACGTTCATTAGGGAGCGGGAGTTGACAGTGGCAGATGCTTCATCCTCGCTGGCCTTCAGCCGGCCTAGACAGCTGAGTCTGGGGTGTAAAAAGGGACACAAGGGAACAGTGTAACTCAGATGCTGACTCAGGTCTTCCGCAACAAAGAGCTGTTTTGGAAGACACATTATTTCAGACTGCTTCAGCTCTAGTTCACGAGGAGGTGAGTACATTTATAATGAAATGCTTTCTTTTTAATTAGCTGTACAAACTGCATGTCAGCACGCCTTTGTTTCCGGTCTCTATAGCTTATCACTTCTGGCACGAGCCTTGTCCTGTTTTGTCACAGTAAATGGAAACTGGGCCACAACCCCATCACTTTTTGTTGCCGTTTTGTTACAAATTTCAAGCATTTGATGACAAAAAGGATCCATTTGTTGGTGAAAATGGGCTCACGCTGTCAGCAGGGTGCTATTTCAGGGGTAATGAAGAAGGATATAGATTCTGATGACAAAGCGAATCCTCCTCTCGTTAAAACGACATCTCTCTATACTGAAAGGAAGAAGTCGATCTACATCTTTCACTCTCAAGTTGGGGATCAGAAGCCTACAGTAGAGCTTAGCTAAATTAAAATCGATCACCAAACCCTCACAGCTGTTTCCTTGCTGCATACATTACAGTTCTAGGACTCGTAAAAGTGCTTCTGTCCCTCCAATACAATATCTCCGTCTTCCGTCTAACAACCCTCCCACTCTCTGGCCTGGTTTAAAGTCCCTCTCGCCATCTCCCCATGAAATTCTAGCACAGCCCTCCTCCCACACAGTCTTCCACTCACACGTTCTTTTGGAGAAATAGGAGACAGAGAGGTGGAGAAAGAGGAATACAAATGACGAAAGGGAATTGTGAAGGGGAAGAGCAGTGTCTGCATACATTGGTAAAGTTTTGGTATTTCTAGCACCTGTCAATCAAATCTTGTTTTCAGTGATGGAATGCCTTTTTATAGCAACTCTGACATCTGTGTAATAGTTGTTCTTTTTTCTGTGTCTGTTCAGCCATGATAAGTAGTATTGTGAATACCCAGTTCTTCTTTTATTCATTCCAAACAAACCAAAAAATGGTAACACACTGTACCTGCACACTTGACTCCCAGACACCAGGCATTTATACAACATTGAAATATTCAAGATCATCTTACACAATTTCTTACTGTAATTTGTCATTTTAGTTTAATATGTTTTAAAGGATTTAAGAAGATAATTCATGGAATGGAATGTTACTCTCTCTTATTTCTTATTTCATATTTTATAATCACTAACCATTCACCTTTAAGATGTCCTTCTCGCCTATGATATTAATAGTAAGCAAATATAACAAATACTTTAATTTAAATGATGTTGTCAAATATGTTTGTTATGTTATTATTTGATGTTAAAATGGTTTAGCCCTATGAAACATTCAATGCTATTATTCATCTTCTTCATTGGTCTGGATTTAACCAATAAAAAGGTTTGTGAATGATGGATGCAAACCAGTAAACATTGGATGATAAATCATGTTCAATCTACCTGCAGCACATGGAAGTCAAGTCCAACATGTTAAACGAGCACTGCAATCACTTAGATTCCTGTAGCATTTTCATACTCACAAGGGACAGTTTTTTTGTGTTTCGAAATCGATGAAGTAGACCAGGTGATATCGTCTCTTTTATACCAAACATTATTCTTGACTGCCGACAATTTTTTTCCAGAGATTTTAAAGTGTTATGGTAGTAAAGTTGCAGCTAGTGCAGCCTCAAGCCTTGATCAGAGATGTGGAGTGGGCTACAGAGGAGCATATTCATCTGTTTTTATAATCTGTTTCAATATTCTGTTTGTGAGCAATGTAGTGTTCTTGAAGTTGTGTCTGGATGTGTTTGTGTGTGTAGCAGCTAATAGTTCCTCAACACATCAACACAGTCGAACACATCTCTGCGCACACAGCACCCTCGGGCGCAGTTACTCATCTCGGTTCTTCCCCCAGTTTAGCTGGTAACACACCACGGTTACCTGTTCTGTCAATACGTATCTTACCTGCCGGGGAGACACTCCCACAACAATGGTATCTTAAGCTGCCTCAAAGCTTTTTCTAAAACATGAGACATAACCTTCAGTTACTTAATGCATCCTCAAAGAAGAGGCTTGGACGTAGTCTGCACCTCTAGTGTAAATGTGTGTGTGTGTGTGTGTGTGTGTGTGTGTGTGTGTGTGTGTGTGTGTGTGTGTGTGTGTGTCCCTTTGACAGAAAGAAAACAAATCATATGTTCAGTAGTTACATTACTCAGACGGGAGTCAAGGTCAACCTTACAGGGCTGTTTACCGTAACAGGAATCCCTGTTGGATGCTGCTGTGCGTGGGATGTATTGCTTGAGGAGAGGATGGTAACAACAGTATGCTGCTATAATGATGAAAACAAAACAACAGGCCTAAAGAAACTCTGAAACTGAAATAATGTGTTTGCATTGTCGCATTTGGGTACTTTGAAAGCTGCTAATGAGTGCATTTTTAAAACATTTCACCATCCCTATTAGTTTAGCGCTTGATGCAAATAGCCTGTGTCATTAAAAATAATTGTTATTATCTCTTATAAACATGAGGGATTAGTTTAATAATACGCAACATTTCCGTTTCAGTAACTTTAGCTTGTTTGACGATTAGTGCTTATCATTACTTCACTGACTTTGATGCGCTTCAATTGTGCACGACATTAAGGTAATAGCCTATAATTTGTAGCAGCAAAAGGAGAAAAAAAAAACACATCATAAAGCATGTCGGCCAATCCAGATCTAAACATGCACTTCACAATAATGTTAGCGGAAAGCAGATATATCTTCACAAAGATTAGAAATAAATCCACCCCGCTTAATGAGCTAATCGATGAGTCATCCATTTATACTTCCCAGGAGTATTGTGATTGTTTATGTGGCGTGGGCGGGAATGATACATTCAAGAAGGGGATCGTGAGGAGTCGTTCAGATTATTAATGCGATGGGCGGACATTTATGCTAATGTAGCCTTCTCTGCATGTCTTATATTGAAAAGTTGTGTGTACTGTAAGACGACAAGCTCATTTTTGCTGGAAAGACAGCTTAAAACTGTCATTTTCAATATGTTGAATTGCTCTGCAATGCCCCTGAGGCTCCTTGAAAGCTGCTCAAGCCCCCTGAGAGGATTTATTAGGCATCTGCCCATCCATCAGGTGGGGACAAAAAGGCAGTTTTTCTCCCTGAATTCCTGAGAAAGTTGGCCGTGTGAAGAGGTTTTTTACCTGTCAGCAGCAATGTGTTGATGTGTTTTGACCATGTTGTTTGTGACTGATGGGGTCGTCTGGTAAAATACATCCTGCTGTTGTGCTGCCCAAGTGATGGAGCGAAGAGTGACAAGCTGGCAGAGAGAAAACGCTGGTTATTTTCTACCTGGGACACTGCTGTGTGTGTCTCAAAGCTTGCATTCCCTCTCATTATTTGTGTCTCCGTGTGTATTTGTGTGTTCCAGACCTTTTCCATCGGAGGACACAGCTCTGAATGAGGATGATGTGTACCGGAGCCTTGAAGAGCTGGCAGAGTAAGTTTTGGGTTTACACACACACACACACACACACACACACACACACACACACACACACACACACACACACACATGTTTGAGTCACTAAGGATTACATTTTGATTAACTCAATATGAGATTTCCTTGACCGTAATCTTAAAAATGGCATGCCTACCCAAGCCCGAACCTTTACCTAACCCAAATCATAAACAAACTTGATGTCCCAAGCCTAAAATAAAATGGGTTACCTTTTTGGGGCATGCTTTTTTTCTTCAAATATGATGCGTGTCCCCACTTTGTGATAGTGAAAACGTTTTTGTATTCACACAAATCGAATAAATAATAGGCCCTATTATGCATTTTTGGGGTTTTTCCGTATCTGAAGTGTGTTATGTATCATTTTTAACTATTTTAATGGGGGATTTTAACACTTAGATCCCTGAAAATGAACTTTGATTTGGATTTGATGTTATTGATAATATTAAATATTATTGTTTCCTTCCACAAAAGGTCATTGCAAATTGCATTTTAGCTCCAAAAATACTGTAAACATGATGATAACTTGACCCTACCCACTTTATTCATACTGGATATTTAATAACTGCTTTTTATAGTCAAAATAAATACACATGAACTGCTGTCAAGATCAGAATATCTTGATACATAACAACTCTCCACCCACCATGCATACAACACGCATCTTGGGATGTGTCAAAGTGAAGTGTGATTGCCACTTCTTCCAATTTCCTCTAACTGCCTAATTATATAAGCGTAGAGCCATGTGTCAATCTGCCTGTTGCCATGGTGACAACAGCCTCGCTCTGACTTCTGATGCGGCTGCCTCGCCGCCTGTTTCAGGGTTAGTTGGTGTGAAAAAGAGTCGTAGGGTCTCTGCGTTGGCAGCGGTGAACAGAATGACAGCAGCCGACTCAGTTTAATGAAGAATCATTTCTTAACCGCTCTGTGATGGGTGTCATTCATCACAGAATGATAGGAGGTAGGAGAGCGGGAGATGAGCATGCAGACTATAGATATATGCCTGCTGAATACATGAGTGTATTTTTCTGTAGGGGATGAGGAATGTGCGCTCGCTAGAGGAGAGGAGTGCAAACCAAGCAGGCTAATGCTGGATTATATCAGTTTAGCCAAACATGAAGCCCAGCAAGCTTGCAACATGGGCCCTTACCTCGGAAACTGAACGAAACCATGCTCAAAAAGTGGTCCTCAAGAGAGTAGAGGAAATAAATGACTCATGATGTTTTTAAGATATAATTTAGTAAAAAAGGGATGAAGAATGTGCTAAAAGAACAGTAATGAACATGTCATTTAAATATGTACTTTGCTCTTAATTCAAATTCACGCCCAAATGTAATTGGCCCATGCTACACCCTTCTACCCAGTTTCATTAATGACATGTCACATTATTTCCATAATCCTTAATAGCTCATTAATACCAAACTGAAAACAAAGGTTATTGGCGGATGCAATAAATCCCAACCCCATAGAATCCAATTGCTAAATTGCTAAAGAGAGATTTGGTGGCTTGGGCGAGTGCATGGTATCCATAGCAACAAGTGTCATGAAAGTAAGCTGTTGTTACTCGCTACAATATATACCAAACAACTCCAACAGAATGGAGGTTATCTGTTAAATTTGCTTCAAACGCGCAAAAACAATTGTTCATTAATGGGTTTTGCCCCTGTAACTATGGCAGCAGCTTCAATGAGGCTGAGCTTGAGTTTTCTTTTCTGAAAGTGAGTTTTCTGGAGTCAGTGGTGTTGTAACACAGTGCTCTTGATGTAACCTGTAGGTGCAGAGGGCTGGCTCTCATTGAATTAATCATTCTGCTCGGCAGCGCGGCTGCTCTTGACCTTTTACAAAAGAACATGCATGCATTTTCGTTTCATCAACGGACCGACACATAATTGATTCATCAGCAGGTCCCGCACCTAATACAGTTTGACACACTTAGCACATAGGCCACACAAGCAATAACCCTCCTCTCAAAGACTTATTAATTAGCCTGGAATATTGATGCATGCATAATGTAAAATGGCTGCATGACTGAACTGCAAGAGTGAAGGAAAGGACAATGATGATCTTACCAAAGTAATCATTTTTTAAATGGATGGAGTACTTTTTAAGAGCATCTCAGAGTATGCAATGACCGTACGTATGAAACCATAAAAATAACAGCATGTAAGGAATAGAAGAGCAATTTTTCCACTCAGTGTGAGAAAATAAAACAGCATGGCAGAGCAATATAATGGCAAACAATAAAAAATCGATATAAGTGGCGTCATTAAGTTCAGTAATAAAACGACAAGTGCGACAGAAAGCGTTCTATAAAAATTGATTTTTAGGTGAGATTTAAAAACAGAGATCATGCCGGCGGACCAAATGTTAAATGGCAGTAGCAAAAAAAATCGATCAATCTGGAGCGGCCAAAATACTTGAACTGTTGGACCCTTTGACGCCTCTGAGGATAGCTGGGAGCTCACTAATGTAATGATGGTGCATTGTGTATTAACATGTGACTCATTTATTAGATACTTAAGGCTCTTGTATGTGGCTTTTCTTAAATAACTTGGCCTAAAATATACCCAAGGGCGTTATTTGACTTTCGAGGTTAAGTAGAGGTCACTTACTTTGCTGGTGGATTTCCATATTTACGACATCATGTCAGAAGAACTCATGTCAGCTGAGGTACGTTGAGGTTTTACGCCGTCAGAATGAGCTCACCTGTAAATGACAGCTGTAAATGAATTGCATTGGGATGTTATGATGAGTTCAGGTATATAAGAATTCCTCTGCACCTTATCTGTTAGAGGCCGGTTTTATACCTAATCGAGGTCTCCTGGGTTAATGTGGTAAACCTTTTCCCGTACTTCCTCCCACTCTGGCTTTGTGATGTTGAGTCTTCATGTCGCTTAACTTCCTCCCTGTCTGGAATGACTCCATCCCGGAGTTGACAAAGCATGAAAATGGGGGTGGATCGGGCAAAGTCGCCAAGGGACTTTCCCTCGGTGAAAGGCACACATAGATTTCCATTCCGAAGCAAACAGTGTCACAAGCCCTTTGTGTCACTTTTTTCGCAGTTTATTTTGCTCCATTAATCCCTTGGGCGGGTTGGCTTGAAATGTCAATAGCTTGGAAATGGATGGGACTCAGGTATCATTAACTGCCAGGTATTAGGTCAATTATTTTAATTTGAACTTTAACTAACACTCTAAGGATTATCTATTTTGTAAATAGAGATGGGCTTTAATAATGTATGGACCTCATTTTAATGGAACATTCTCTAAATACCTAGGAAAGTTAAAAACTAGCACATAATTCATGTCTTTTTCCAACATCAGCTTTGATGCCAAATAAATAACGATGCCAACAATTAAGTAAATACTCATAATGCAGTTAATATACGTTAAAATCAACTATGTACAGCACATGAAACGTATTCAGTATTTCATAAAAATGAGTTTAAGAGGATAACAGATCTTAACACATAACACAATACAAAATTGAGGCTCAGAAATAATTTCTATAATAAAAAAAATCACATCTTGGCAGTAACTATACATTCATGCTGTTTTAACAGTCTAAATCTTATGTTATGGCAGCTGAGTTGAATGGTAAATAACATTGTTAATGATGCTATTTGACTAAATGATCACCTAATTGCATCTCCATGTTGTCTTTGTTGATTGAAAAAAAAACAAATTGCATCTGTTATCCCCAGCCAGATAGCTTCAAACTTCACAGTATAGCCTTACTGATAACAAGCCATCTCATCCACCATGTTCACACTGGTGTGTGTGTTTTTCAGTTCTTTATTCTATTATCTCTAAAGATGCAGTGTAACAGCATCACCCTGCTGTTAAGGTGCAATGCTCAAGCTCCCCTCCCAATACATCATAGCTCTAACAACAGAAATAATATTATTATAAACCTGTAAGGCAGCCCAGCCTTAGGGGACCTGTGCTCTGTGGCTCTGATATGTTGAGTCATATTCCCCCACCCCCTCTCTAGTGATTACCTTACTAACTCTATGTCATTGATATAGAGGCTAGCGGGCCCATTGCGTGCAAACACACTGGACACCCTGTGGCCCGTCGTGGTGTAATCAGGCAGAAAATCAGACCTACATGTAATTCATGAATCCTCAGGACTGTGCTCCCACTTTCAATCTCAGTGATACATTGCTATACATGCACGAGCTCACACACAGTCACACATTAAGTGCATTTGAATGATTTATTAATGTCCACTAAACTAGACAAAGGCACATAAATAGTAGAGGTGTGGTGTGACAGATTTACACAGCCAAGACGTATGTCCCTCTATTTCCCCCGCTTTGTTTTTCTTTGGTGACATACACACATACACACATGTCACTTGTAGGACTCAAGCAAGCCTTGACAGCTTAAAACATTAACCTTAAGCATCAATTATACATGTCTAAAAACCATCCATATTCCTACATAAATCTTAATGTAACCTTACATTTCAGCTACAGTCTGAAACAAAAGCCACATCAATGTTATGCCTAAAAGTAATTGTCCATTTACTGGCAATCTCCCAAACAAATCAGTAATATGTTTTACAGAACATGAAAAGGATTGACCTAACCACTTTATAACCAAGTCCTTCTAACAGCACATTGAAAAATGAAAAGAAAGTAAATCACATTACCGTTGAGGTTAATGCTCAAATTTGTCCTCACAAATACTGAAGGCCAACCTCCACTTACAAAACACTCGTCATTTTTCCTTAGCCGCAGCTTTTTCGGTTCTACCAAACCCAGTGCAGTATGTACATTATGGAATATAAATGACTAATGTAAGATCTTTATATGGGGTTAATTACAGTGTTGTGACTTTAAACATCAATGCATGTTGAGACTAAAAACAGAAAACAAGTTAAGAAGTTCATTAGTGACAGCAGTAATTAAAAATATGATAGGAAACAATCAGTGAAAGTGGATGTACACACACTGTCATTTAAATATTGATTCCTCTGGCTTTTGTTTTTGAAAAATCAATATGAAATGTATAAGTAAAAAAATAACGTGAAATCAGTGCTTGTAAAATGCTTAATTGGGATCAACGGATATCAGTTAGTCTTGGCGATATGGATAAATGCCAATCAAAATAAAGGCAATGACAAAGGGAACATCTTTATAGAAATGGGCCAGTCCATATAAAGATTTCCTCCCAAAACAACCACTAAAACCTCAAATTGACTGACTGAAACAAAGAAGAGTTGGTCAATATGAAATGTAATTGAATGGAGAAAAGAAATTGCCTAAATGTCATTTTTTAATCAATAGACAATTTCCCCTGGATAAGTAAGGGTCAATAGATATAGATGATTCAATCAATGGTAATTCCCTAAATGTTTCATTCTTGTAATAGTTACATTATTTATAAAATAGACCTCACTCAGACCTCCCTCCCTACTCCTCCTCAATGTCCCCACTGGAGATCCCGCTCCTCTTAGATCTCTCCATAGCTCATATTTAAATCACCGCACTAGACCTCCGTCGTATAATACAGTCTCTGAAGGGATTAGAACAAAATGAAGTACAACATCTTCTTCTCAAAAACTTCCCGTCGCGCAACACATCAGTCTCAGAGTTCAGAGGAGACACTGATGGGATTGTGCGGTCCTCCCACTCCGCCTCTTCCCAATTCAACATGAGCCACTTTAACTTAATGAAGAGAGAAGAAGCACGGCGCCCAGAGTGAACCAAGCCACCTCAATTAAAACTTCAAACAACCCCCGCACGAGCGTGACGACAAAGCTTAATATATGATTGAGTACAGTTCTGCCTCCTCTGATTTTTATCCAACATTCACACAAGAAGAAATATTTAAGCAAAGATAGCACATTTCGAAGGTCATATCAAGCCATAAAGAAAATCCAATGACCTATAACCTGTGCCAAATTTTAAATATTCATGATTTAATATAGTCAAATCCCTACAAAAATATTCAATTTCCGGGGATGTTAAAGTGAAATTACATTTCCTGTCTGTTTCTGGGGCCGGGACAGCCAGGTTACGGCCCCCATTAGGCGAAGGATGAAGGATCTTCCTCAAGAATACTCAAACAGGTAGTTGGATGAGGATCTTTTCAACCGAGAAGAGACATGGCCTTTTGGCTTTCCCCCACTCGGATCACAAAACAGCATCCCCTATTCTGGAAGGCATTAAGTGTCATGCTCAAGGACATTTTAGTACAGCGTTCACGTGCCACCCGGGTCCTCCTTTTCTGAGCATGTGGAGGCAGTCCAGATGGAATTTAAACATGTATTTCACTTATTTAGAAAAAGGTGGGGGTAACGTGACAGGCGCAAAGCAGTGTTAACAAAAATGATACATGTCAGAGAAATTAGGGTACTTTAAAAAGTTGTGTCTACAGTAAAAGCACAATTGTTCTCAGAGCCATAACTTGATTGTTTCACAGAGATTTACACATTCATTTTGACTTACGCTTTATTTATGTATCTTTCAATTTCCATGGAATAAATGTATAAGTCAAAGAAAAAGGACGACTAAAATACTTCATGTTTTTAACTTTCCTCACCTATCAAAGTGCTTCAGGCATATTTCTCTACTTATCAATGGGTTAATTGCATATAGCAACAGGGACTGCTAATAGCTAATTCAGCACATTTTTAATCAGGCCTGTATGCCAACATATTATAGCCCAAAGCCTAACTTACTGAATATTTGGCAGCATTATACTGCCTTCACCTTAGTACATTTGAGGTGGATGTAATTGTATTTTAGCAAGACAGTAGTCGCCAAGCTATAAGCCTGGTCTTCCATTATTTAGCAGGCGACTCCTGCAACATTTATTTATTTACACTACTTAATCATTTATTTCCCTTTTTAGCGAACCAAAAGCTCCCTGGTTATTAACTACATCGATGTGGGCTCATCGCCAAAGCGTATTCCTGCTGAGGCTCCTCCACTGCCTCGATAAGTTCCCCAAACAATAATTGCTTTTACAGGACAGAGGGAGATGCAGTGTGCACTCGCTTAGCATGAGGGACTTTCCCCAGAAGACACTCCTCTCCACAGCCACTGTCTGTGCTCTGCTGGCTGCTCGCCTAATTAAAGGTCAGTTAGCTAGCTGGGTGCCAAAGCAGCGTAAACACATTTTAAGAGGAATGCCACTCAATGGCGCAACTCATTGGAAGTTTGTGAACATCGAGTGCTGGTCCCTTCGACTCAAAATCGAATATCACTCTACAGTATAGGTGAGGCTTGTGAGAGATAATGAGCTGGTGCTGCTGTGACTGCTCCGTGCCTCTCAGCTGTCAGAGCAGTTTAAAGTTGAGATATGAGCCTTTTTGGCAGTGTAAAAGGATTTAATCCTAGAGTGAAGGTTGTTTGAGGATACAGTCGTTCATCTAACTTGTGTTTTTTTTCCCCCAGTGAGCATGACTTGGGTGAGGATGACATCTACGACTGTGTGCCATGTGATGACGATGGGGACGACATCTATGAGGACATCATTAAGGTGGAAGTACGACAACCCATGGTGAGAATAGTTTCGCAATCCCTGCCATGCCCTGTCATACTTTAAAAAAGTAAAATAGTAATGATTATATTTTCCTCAAATGTGGAATATGATGCTTGCTAATGTGTGTGAATAAAGGGTTGTATTTCTTAGTCACCTTATGATGGTCTACCTGGTGACCTCCAGTCAAATGACTCAAGTCAGATTTGAATTTTCGACGTCAAATCCATCACTTTAGACCTGACTGAAAATAAATCAGAAATAACTCACCTAAAACGAACATACTTGCAAATACCTTCGCTCATATCCAAACATGAATACATTAGTTGTGTAGAAAGTGTGCCACAGGACATTTAATTCCCCTTAATTTCCTGAATCAACTATCTACTGTATATTGCTGTTCAATCATTCTCGTAGACACATCATTAGTTTGAACCATCCAATGGCATCCAAGGAAGTTGCAGGAGCACACCAGAAGGACTCAAGTGAAAATACTGAGAGCCAGTTGAAAAATAATAATACCAAAGATAATTTCATTTTGGTACAAAAACGACACCTAACAACTTAGTCTTGATTTTAGACCAAATTTTGACTTGCAAATTAATAATTTGGTATCAACTCTGTCCGTTAGACAACCCTTATTACCAGGAATGATTCAATGAAAAAGTATTGCTAGGAAAAGGAAACACACTTCCTCCCACTCACCATAGCATTTGCATGATGTGATATCTCTTGACGCGCTCTGATCTTTTAACACAACCGGTGATGAATGTGACCTCTGACATGCGCTGCTTTGCCTTTCCCCATGCTGCAGATCAGATACATGCAGGTGAGTGCCGCTGTGCTTGTGACTCACCCCACCCTGTCAGTTACCTCCCTCTAACACTTCATTTCAAACAAACTCATGGCCTCCCAAGAGAATGACCAGTTAGATTATTGACCCGTGCCCCATCTGGTTTGAAGTCTGACTCAGGGCCCAGTGGAGAGACTTGTGACTTCAGCTCGGTGACGGCAGTGTTAAATGAGGTCACCGAGGACCACCAGCTGATGAAATCCAACCTCAGAGCACCAGAGAAATAAACATAATATCTGCTGGCTTTCAGCCCTGATTTGGAATGGTTGATAACAAAGTGGAATACGGCTTAAATCGCTACAGTGTTAGCCCCAGATTTTCCTATTATCTGCACTGATTATCTGTCAAATGTGTTCCAGATGGCCTAGCTTGTTATTCCACAGTTGGGTTGCTCATGTCACTCCCACAACATTTTGAAATCTGCATAGAAATGGAGCTGAAATCTATACGTTTTGGATATGCATTCCAGTATATTTTCCTTTCAAAGAAACACATGTTTATGTATATGTACACATCTTCCTACATGGTGGCTGACTCAAACGTCAGGTCTATTGAGAAATGCTAAATGTATATACGTTTGTATCTTTTCCCCATCTTCCACCTCCCCCTCACAATGTGTCTGCCTGCATGGCTATGACTTAAAAACCCTTTATTCATCTACATATTCATAAATATAACTTATGTATAGCCCAGACATTCAGTGAGAACAAATGCTAACACACTTCCCTTTCCCTCCAAAGTCTTCACCAATTCACTTTACTCTAGCCAGACATATATCAGTAACTATGGGTAACATTTTAGGCTCAAGTTGATTTGGAGATCATATCGCCTTCATTTTAACACACTTTCTTTCTTACTGTTTTCTTTTGTTTGTAAAGCTCACTCAAACCTTAACGACAGCACTTTATTTGGAGTTATCTGTTCATGCACAGATGACTTTTGAATGGATTTTCCCAATGCTTCCCATTAATTTCTAGACAGTAAGAGTACCATTTAGCTAATCTTATCAATTGTATGCCAATGCCTCCCTGGAAGGCGTTATTGATTCATAGATTATCCCGGTGAAATAAAGCAGAACAGACTCTTGAAACCAGCTCGGGTCTGGTAATCCATCACTTTCAACATTAGGTCCGCATTCATTTTTGTCAATGTTACATTATGACTTCATGGTGAATTGATTGGAAAAAAGTCTGCACTGCACTATCTCGTACAAATAATAGCCTTTGATGGATTACACAACTCAAGCCATTTTCAAGAGAGTGCTAATAGACTCAATAATGTTTGGAAAGAAATTGGAACCAATGGCCGACTGGTAAAGCAGATGAAAAAATTGCAACAGCACAGTTTTCACAATGTGAAGCTTTCATACTATGTGAGACTGAAAACATAAGATGAAACAATTATGGTCCTTTTTTGAAAAACATGTCACACATTTAGACAGACATTCAATCAGAAACTGCCTAGCTTGATCTCCATTTTGCAAAAATCACCAAAAAAACAAGAAATACAATCATTAAAGTTGGAAAAATGTAGGACTTACAATAGTAGGCAAAATAAATACAATTGTATTAATTATTGGAGATAATTCATTATCCAAAAGCATGCAGTGTACTTGTCCTGATACATTATGCTTAATTGTCTCCGATAGAAGATGGGAATGACAGAAGAAGACAAAAGAAATTGCTGCTTANATGTAGTGGAGGTCGTGTGTGTGTGTGTGTGTGTGTGTGTGTGTGTGTGTGTGTGTGTGTGTGTGTGTGTGTTGCCGTGGGAGGAGATCAATGGGGCTTTTCAGTCTATGGCACTATTACAAACACTTGAAAGAAGGCCTCCCTGAGTCTTATATATGTCCAGCAGCACGCCTGTGGCACTCATTTCAAATGTAATTCAAGTCCGATTAATTCTGCCGGCAGCCACTATGTCACAGTGATTTCAAAAACCACTTAGAAAGTTGGCATCAGTAAACCCGACATGCTCATGTCAGGAGGATGTGCTTGTGCATTTTTAAGTAAAGTGTTAGGTTTGTGTCACATCATTCACTAATAGCTAATCTGAAAGGATCCTGAGTAACAATTTAAAGCTGCCTCTTCTTACCAAAATAACATTTAATTACTATATAAACTACAACACCAGGGTTTCTCTGACATGTTGAGTCAGTGAAATAGGCTAATAAATTAAGTCGGAAAAATTATATCAATTGAAATCGAATGGTCTGACAGAAATATCAACAAAAGGTGATTTTGCCCCACAGCAATATCTGATTTGAAGCTAACTATGTGAAGCTAATCTAAAACACACAGACGCACCTGCACACATGCACACACCCAGTTCAGGACAATCCACAAAAACGTTACAGGCTAAGAAACAAAAACAATATAATACAATATATTTTCCTGTGCAGTAAACGTCTCTGGTTAAGACAGAACATCTTTGTTCTTTGTTGACCCTTTTTGTTAAGCTCTATTTCTGCTAAATTATGTGTTTCAAATAAAAGAAACACATAAAATAAAACAATTAAATATACAGTGACAATCCAAACAAGATTAACTATGAATGTCATAGAAATAACATCAATAAACAATATTTCACAGCTACTTATAGTTCTCTGACTTTATGATAGTAGAATAATATGTATTAGGAGTTTCAGAGGGGGCAGCAGAACAATCTCTTAACACAACATTGACATATTATAACCCTTTAGCTTCCTAATTATGACGGACATGTTATCACATGTTGCCTTTTCACACACTCAGCAGCTAGGAAGCAGCATTAACAAAAAATTGCTTCATAAGCAGAGGAACTGCAAAGTTAATTGAAAGCTGCAACGGTTATATTTTCACAATTGGGGGATTACTACCATTTTCTATGGTTTCGCCTCTACGAGCAAATCCTTTCCCTTAACAGACAAACACATTTTGTTAACGTATGTAGGGTGGATCCTTTTTAAATTAAAATGTACTGTATACTACGTTTTACTATTCAAAGAGGTCCCAATAAAATGAGGTGTATTCACAAGTCTTCTTGTATCATCCCTCAAAACCAGCAGACAATTGACATGAGATTTAGTAGGAAATAAGAGGGTTTTACCTGTATTAGATTTAAGTTAATGGTTATATAACTGTCTCACAAAGACTGTGGTACTGCATTTACTATTCATCCAAGTTTTCAAGTTTATGCTTCAACAGTAAGTCTGACTAGAGTAAAGTTATTGTTGGACAGTGGGTGAGTGTCATGAAAGTGAACTTCTACCCATGATCCTGTCGAACACCAAAGAGTATGGAATCAGCGGTTAATAATCCCATTAAGTTGAAACAAAAGTAATCCTCTTAGAAAGTGAAATGTAGCTTAGTAGTCAGTTCCATATCACCCCATTAACAGAGGACTGAGGATTACACTCACTCTGTATTAGCGTCAGGTATTCTATTTGAACCAAATAGCCAAGGGTCCATTGTGCTTGTGATGAATTTGAAATTATTTCATGCCTTCCATTAGCATCCTCTGCAGATGAGAAAATACAAAGTATTAATGGGCTCCAACAAATTAATGAATGAATGAATAAAATGCCTTATGTGTATGCTCAACAATGTGGCCGTCTCGAGGAACCAAAACATCTAGGGTACTCCGCACCATCAACCTAGTTACAGGCCTGCCTGCCTGCGTGCCTGCCTGCGTGCCTGCCTGCCTGCCTGCCTGCCTGCCTGCCTGCCTGCCTGCCTGCCTGCCTGCCTGTGTTGGATTTATAAATTGTTGCTTCGTACAGTTGGGCGGCTGAACTTTACCATTTGTTAATGTACTTGATGAAATTATTAAAGATCGACTCTTGCTACAGCCACAGAGTGTCACGATCTGTCTGTGTTTTATTTTGTCCTGTCAAGATTTTTCTTTGGTTTCCTGTTTTAGTTTGAAAAATGCCTTATAAGAACAAACCAAACTATTTGGCAAATGTAATATTATTTCCGATAAGGATTTTGGCTGGGATTACATCTGTATACTTAGCCAAAAACAATAGACCAGGACAGAGCAACTAATGCCTAAACTCTGACAGCGTCTGAGACTGCCTTACACACAGCGGTGAAATACTGCATAGTGAATGTGCAAGTCGTAAAACAACTTTTCAAAACAACTCCTAAAAAGTAACATGGTGTGAAATGATTTTGGCCCTGGAAGTGAGCTGGGTTGCTATTAAAGATAGTTAACTAGTACTTCAGATACACTGTTTACAGCTTCCATCAGGGGATACAAACACACAGTTTAATAAATAAACTACATTAATCATGTATTTTGGGCTTTTCTACATCTCACTTAAGTCCTAGCAACTCAATGAGGTATCTATCCTGTAGACAATCTGCATCTTGAGTGGATGGTGCTAAAAAAGTTATTCTCAAGGTGATAACAAATATGTCGAATCAGAACTAAGTCAGACTGATACTCCCATGTCCATGATGCTATTGGAGAGTACCCTACACTGCTCTGATGAGCACCTTGTGTTCAAACCCCTTAATAATCAGAAGCACAGAAGGAGACATTGTGTGAGAGCAGATTCGGTATAGGTCACTCTTTGAAGCTGTTTGCGCCAATCATCCTTCTCATCCATGCTGTGTTTGAAGTTTGCAAGTTTGTTTGTGTGCTTTGTAAACCTTTCAAGCAGTGCATCAAAGAAAGTTTGAAAGACACAATTATCTATGCCAGAAAAGTAATGGATTAAAGGCAAGTGTTGTGTTGTTTTGTATGCATTTTTGCTGAGTTGTGTGCAATTGTATGTTGATGAGACTCCATAAAGACACTGATGTGGTAAACGAGCTTAGCCTATTGTGGTTCGTAGCACTTGTAAATGTATGTACCTGTTGACAGTTCAAGCTAAATGTATCTTGCCTTCTATTAACTCTCCCTGGAAAAAGTTGGGCATGGTGCTAGTAGCCCTAATATGATAATTGCTTTGAATAACAGCATATGTTATTTTATCATTAAAAGTGCAACAACACTTATGTAGTGCACATTTAACAACTTCTTCAAGGTCTCTGTTTAGTACGTCATGCTCCAAAGCAGCCCTGCTTTTCTTTTTTCTCATGCTGACTAATGGATGTCTCTATAGCTTCTGGAACACATGGATTTGATTGAATTTGTTAGATCATTTCCTGTCTTATCCATACTAAGTATCATGATAAACTATGTCTATTCCTCAGCCGCAGCTGCAATGAACATACATAACCAGACTGATTTAAATGATCGGCAATAACATGAGGCCAAGTAATTTCAGAGACAACACAAGACAATCACAGATGGCTGTAAACACATTGACCATGATTGACATTTAAATCACTGTCATTCATAACACTGTGACCTACTGAGGACAATGTTTGACAGGGTTTGACCAGAGCAGGGTTTTCCCATCATAACTTATTGCAGAGGTGTGATCTCAGCAGCTATCATCAGGGGGTCGCCATATTTTTCAACTAACTATATTAGTGGAGCTGCCTGGAGGGAACCACAAAGTAGATTTCTTCCCAATGATTTCATAAAACATCATGAACTTTCATATAATTAGTGGCTAGTTAAATTAAGTCACAGTAAAAACGATGGAACTTCGCTTCAAATAAGATTACACATTATTAAATTGTGTGAACATTAATTCCAGGAAAACTCTAATGATATGTCTGAGATGCAACCTTTAAATATGTTGTAAACATATCAGGGATATTAATGCTGAACATCAGCAGGCTGGCTGATGTTCAAATTGAGAACAATAGGAGGATGTTGGAGAATATTCAAATAATTCTTTACATAAACAGCTTTTGTATTGTTTCGAACTCATGGACTTAAGTGATGATGATCCATTGAAGCCGTCTGCTAACATGATACATGACAAACGTTTCTCAAGAGCCCATTGGAAAAGTAATACTTAAACATGTCTGACTTCTGTCCACAATCTAGATTATGACATCTATGTTTAGTTAAATCCTCAACCCAATCTTGTCCGAGATGTTTCTTGTCCGGAGATCTCAACTACACACCTGAAAGGTTATTTGATTGGGTCTTTAGCAATTGCGCCGCTGTCAAAATGTAAAACTATTAACCTAACAAAATACTCAAAGCTGCTTCTGCGGTAGCTCCTGCTATTACTATGAAAACACTTTACCATGAAGACACTCACACACGCCGACTCACAAGGTCAAAGCAATACCAGCAACACGCTGCCACGGCTGGTGAAAGCATACATATATTACTTCCTCATGTGGATGAAGAGGACCTCTAAGTCGTAACTGGTCTTTGACGTTGCTGAATGTCATAAGGTCAGGGTGTTTCAGCAGAGCCTGCTGTGATGGATGAGGAGGGCTCACTTCTAAGCTTTGTGTCTCAGTGGTGCTCGGCCTGTTAGACTGTGCAAAGGAGAGACGATCACGTCCCTCCTGAGCATGTAGAAACAGCACTCTAGCATAAGTGCGTTTGCACACAGATATGAATCCCCAAAGAGGAGGACATCTTCTCAGTTTGATTAAAAAACACGAGTGACATGGGTAGTTAGTAACTAGTCATAGTCTCGGAGACAGGAATCAGCCATCTGTGACACCAAAATATGCACTACATCTCTAAACTCTCAACATTTTGCTTCTACAAATCTGTTCAAACAATCTGTGTGAGGCATGGTGGCCAGTCACGCAGTCTGATTGTCTGTCCATTGGATGTT